TCACTGTAACTGGACGGTTCGGGTCACTGTAACTGGACGGTTCAGATCACTGTAACTGGACGGTTCGGGTCACTGTAACTGGACGGGTCAGGTCGGGTCACTGTAACTGGACGGGTCAGGTCGGGTCACTGTAACTGGACGGTCGGGTAAGTGTAACTAGACGGGTCGGGTAACTATAACTAGACGGGTCGGGTTACTGTAACTGGACGGGTCGGGTCACTGTAACTGGACGGGTCAGGTCGGGTAACTGACAGGTCAAATAATTTTCATTGATCTTATCAGATAACTGTAACTGCACGTCGGGTAGTTGTAACTTGTCAAGTAATTGTAATTGACGCCGAGTAACTCTAACCGATGTCAGGCGAATAAGTGTACATAGTTGGACGTGTAACCGAATAACCGTATTTCAGGAATTATAAAAATGATGCAACTTTTTTTTATCTTGAAAATGGCTGTAGCAAGAGCTAGGAAATGCCGAAATTGCAATGGGGATTTACGTATTCATTAGGCAGCATGGCATATTTGAAATTTCATCCTAACGTTTTTAAATGCTAAACACGTATGGTCTCTTTTTTGGTATATACTAAAAGAGGTCCTATTTTTGTCAAAATGCTTTTAATTAGTAATATTCATGACCTAACCCCTAGTTATTATTCCTTGATACTTCATCCGTCCCATAAAATTCTTCTAATGTTTTGGGAAAATTTTACAAATAAGACCAAATCATATCAAGTTTCTTAAATTAGGAGTTAAAATTCGTGTAGGACATAAGTGCACAAGATTTGACAATTATACCCTTAATTTTAATACTCTGCTTCCAAACATTAAAACTTCTGGAACGGCAAAAACAACGGGCTTCAACCTTCTTCAACTGACCTCAATGGAAAAAATCAAGTTCTCGAGATCTTCAACCTTCTTCTTCAAAGAGCAACGACGCACGATTCAACGGGAAACAAATCTTCAAAGAGCTTCTAAATCGCAACCGGAAGGACGACGAAAAATCAAGCCGCTCGATTACGATGAAATCCGACGAAGAGAAGATCGGAAGATAGGGTGTTTGAGAACAACAAAATAGAAGAACACTTTGATAGAGGCTTTGAAGCAGAGATGCCCAATAAAAATGAGATCGGAAGGAAAATTGTGCCTAGTGGTTGCTGGGCTATGATTGGTCAAATGGCAGGAGGTGGACGTACTGAGAAGCCCATGCTTTAGGCCGGAAATGCCTACCAAAAATTCAGGGTGAAGAGGAACTGCTGGCCTAGTCAAGCCAGTACAGTTCGTCGTGATGCACCACCCGGACAGAAAGTTGGTTTGGTTACTGCCAGGAGGACTGGTCGTGTTCGTGGTCAAGCTGTTTTTGTTACTGCCAAGGCTGATAATGGATCTTAAGTTTTATAAGTACTATGTTATTTATTATTTTGTGTTTGAGATTGTGCTTGTTGGTGCTTTTACTTTATAACCCATGCAGACTGTAAACACTATTTACTTGGACTTAAATGGGAGCAAGTTTTGGTTTACTTGGGAATTGGTATTGGATTGTGAAGAAGATTGTGATTTTTGACCAAAGTTTAGCTTCAAAATTGGGCCTGCAAGTTTTCTTTCAAAATTCTATTTGAAATATGAGTATATCAGATGCATCTCCTATTATACAAAAATTCAAGTTTTGGTTTTGAAATATGAGTATATGTTATCTCCTATTTGGTGTTATATCAGATGCTTGTCTATTTTAATCTTGTTTATCAGATGCTTGAAGTAAGGTGTAAAGTCCATAAGTAGACATTAACACGTCTTCAATGACACAAGTGTAGACATTAAACTCCTACGACTATAAGTACAAAAATTAGTACAAAAGTATAGAGCAAATATGCAAATTTATAGATTCAACTACATAAATAATGCTCAAATATATTTAGCAAGATTAGTAGTATTTGACATCACATGATATGAACATAAAGTTTTTAAACATGAAAATGTAGTCTTGTTTAGTCGTATTTGTAAAGTTCTTTCTAATTATGACTATACGCAATCTTCCTTTTTGTATTCTTATTTAGTCGTATTAAATACAAGATTTAATACAAAATTGTAATAAAGACCACATGAATATCAACATAGAGTTCTTAAAGGTGAAAACCTAAAACGGTTGTGAAACCAATTGTTACGGATGCATATTAAGCCGAAGATTTTAGTGAAACTTGAAGAAACATGTTTAGAATATTAAGTTGGAAGAAGTGAGATACTTAGTGCAATTTGAAATAGATAGTGTATATGAACAAGTGAGATAGTCATTAATTAGACAATAAGAAGACAATAAGAAGACATTAATTTTGTCTTTAGTTGAAAGAATACACTTCTTTTTACAACTACATGTAAAAGTTTATAATAAAGTAATAATGGAGTTTGATAATCTGGTTAAATAAACTCTAGATACAAGACCCATGAAATAAATATGAGCATACTGATGTTAAATGCGGACACAAAACTCAAAACATTTCTCGTAAATAACTATTACACATTTCGTGCATTAAATATGAGCATATTAATTAGAAATTTTAGTTGCACTCTTGCATGTAAGGCAAGAAAGGAAAGCGTGCTAAGTAGATAAAGCCGGTATGTTAAGTGCGTTTTGGAGTAGGCAGTAAATATGTACAACACAGGCAGTCAGTAATTAGATAGTAAAAAGACAATAATTTCAAAGATGATGTGTGCTGGTTCTGAAAACATATATTATTCAATAAACTTGAGTTTGAATGACAAAATAACATCATATCCAATGCCAAAAACCATGGCAACTAGTATAAAACTTCATTGTCAATAAACCATGGCAATTTAAAAATGCGGGGAAAAAACTAAAATCCTCACAACTCTCATTGGATGAAACGAAAGTGATATGACATTTCGTGTTTTAAGAACTACGGGCTGGAATAAGATCACTATAAGACTTCTTGTTGTGTCTTCCTTTTTACACCATGAACATTGTTTCCACTACCGAGAACAAAATTCTTCAGTTGAAGGTAAACGCTTCTTTTAGGCTAACGAGTTGGCGTTTGAGAACCAATAGGCTGCACAACAAGAAAGTGTAAGGGAAGTTTAGCTTATAAATGTACAATAAGTTTAAGCAACAATTGCTAAAGGTATATGTCTGATTTTAAGTTGTAAATGCAACAACTTCAAGCCCATATAAAGGGTCCAAATGCAGAATTTTTTTACCTGTAAATGCAACTTGTTAAAGGGCATATTAAGCCTATACATAGACAACAAGTTTAAGCAACAATTGAAGCAACTTAAAGGCCATATTAAAGCTCCAAATGCAGCAACTTAAAACTCTAAACGCACTAACATATAGGTTTTCTTTGATGCTATAAATGCAGCAACTTCAAGCCCATATAAAGGGTCCAAATGCATAATTTTTTACCTATAAATGCAACTTGTCAAAGGACATATTAAGCAACATTGTAATCTGAGTAAAAATAGAGAAATCCATTCAAAAAAAATCATCACATAATACGTTCATGTGAATATGTAACCGTGTGATCATAAAATAGATCCATATATAAGGCATTTATGTCAGAATAAATCAATGAAAAAATAATAATAACACAAACAACAACAAAATAGTAATAAAAACTAAACTGAAATGTAAAGAACAAAAAACAGAACAACAAATAACCAAATTAAAATAAAAGGTATAAGAACAAAAAGAGAACAACTAAACAACATATTGAAGATCAAAAGCTATTGTTGCATAAGCATGTTGAAGTACGTACAACATACAAATTAAAAGTGATAAAAAGAAGAAGAAAATTCAAAGTGTTGTACATATAGTTTGAGAGAAATATAATATCATACTGCGAAGGAAACTTAATGACGGAATTCATAAACAAACTAAAACCGAAGATATCAAAGTACAAAAAAGTAATCAGAATGAAATTCGAAGACAACTTGGATACTTACAACAGAAAAATCGCAGAAGGATTCGATCAACGAATTGTGATGAAGCTGAACAGGAATTTTGCAGAGAACATTCCGAAATTGATTCTGAGTTGGTTTGAACCAACAACATTATATCTTCTTCTTCTGTCAATAAAACGTCATCCCAGAGGGTGGGAAATACTCCTGTTGCATACCCTGGGTAGAATTCGTGTTGTTTTAAAACAGATCAACCCAACTTTTTGGGGGGTTGCACTGATTTCTGGTTGAGGACTTTTGTCGAGCACTTTATTTACATCAATTGAACCCCCCCATTTCAGAAAGTTCTTGGACTATAACCATTGTATCTAGTTCAGTGTAAGACAATCAAAGAATTATATGAAGTAGGAAAAACAGAAATCAACATTGGAAACTAAAAACAGAGAAGAGAAATACTTTGAATCGCAATTTCAAGGTCAGGATGAGAATTCAAACTTGAAGATGAAAGAACTGATGCAGAATATATAAATGAAATACATTTATACATGATAACATCAAACAATAACAAATTTTTTAAACAAATGAGTAATAAATCTTACTGAAAAGTGCAGAGAATTTGCACAGCGTATGAAGCTTGATGAACAATTGAATGGCACTTCAGAATAATTCTTGGACCATGCAAGCACAATCGAAACTGGAGAAGTGATCACGGATAAATAAAACGACGAAGATCTTGAGCTCCGTTGATTACAAACACGCAGAGCGAAAGAAGAAGAAAAGGTCGTTCTAGATGAGTTCAGTCGTTGCCCAAGTATTCGCCTTTGATACACAGACTAAAGTGGAGGGTAAAATTGGCAACTAAAAATCAAGTTTTCTAAAACAGAACTAACTAAAACCTACGGATGGAAAAAAACTATCTAAGTCCTAAACTTGTAAACTTTGTATGATTTACTCTTACTAACAGCAATTTTCTCTAATGTTTTTTGGATCATCCCAAAGAATTTTTCCACTTATCATTTTTGAACAATTTGTGTGATTCAGGCTAATTTTATATTTTTATTTCACCGGGGTAAAGATCCCACATTCCCACCCAATGGAGGTCATATGCCAAGACGCCCAAGACTCCCTTGAACCGTAAAAGTCCTAATGGCGACCACCGTCTTCATCTCCACCGCCACACTCCGCCGTCTCATCACGCACGACTCCCTCATCCGCCATCTCCAGCCCACCCTTCCCGCCGATATCAGATCCCCACTCCGCACCTCTCACGACACCAGCTCTTCATCCTCCCTCCTCCTCATGCCCTCCTGGTCCCACTCCCCCTCCCTCCCCTACGTCGGCGTCAAGCTAGTCACCTACCATCCCAACAACTCCGCCCTCAGCTTACCCGGAATCCACGCCACTTACGCGCTCTTCAGCTCCCTCACCGGCCAAACCCTAGCCACCATGGACGCCACCGAGCTAACCCTCTACCGCACTTCCTGCATCTCCGCTCTGGCTTCAAATTACCTATCCAGGGAAAACTCCGAGATGCTCGCGATGATCGGCGCCGGCGCTTTAGCCCCGCATCTGATCAGGGCGCATTTGACCGTGCGGCCGGGGTTGAAGAGGGTGATAATCTGGAACAGAACTGTGGAAAGGGCGGAATCTCTTGTTGAGAAATTGAGAAGCGAAATCGGATTCGAAGGATTGATTCTCGAGAGCAGTGGATGTTTGGAGGAGGCGGTGGGGCTGGGAGATATAGTGAGCTGCGCGACGAACTCGGAGACGCCATTGGTGAAGGGGAAGGAGCTGAAGGTGGGGGCGCATTTGGATATGGTGGGATCCTTCAAGCCATCAATGAAGGAGTGTGATGATGAGGCAATTAGGCGGGGAAGAGTGTTCATTGATAATGAAGCGGCGGTGGAAGAGTCCGGGGAGATAGTCGGGGCGTTGGAGAGAGGTGTGATAACCAGGGAGGGCATAGTTGGGAATTTGGTAGAGCTGATCAATGGGGAAAAGAGTGGGAGAAGGAATGAGGATGAAATTACTGTGTTCAAATCTGTTGGTTCTGCTGCTGTTGATCTTCTTTCTGCCCAGTTTGTCTATGAGAGTTTCATCAATAGCCATATTCAGTAATATTTGTTGCAAACATTTTGTTTGTGTCTACTATGGGAAAGTGGCAAACTTGATGTTGTTTAATAGGGGGTTCTGTCCTCCCTTCCTGAAGTCCTTTATTTCCTTTTTTGGTAGAAGGTAAACATATATAGATGGTTTCAAAATTGTTCTTGCATCATTGGAATTTGGAGGGGCATTTCCCACTCGAACTTGAGTAAAAATAAGCTTTCACTTAAGAACAGGTGCACTTTCGCATATCACCTTCTTCAGCAACCTGGGATAAGCTAAGGTTTCAAAGAGGATAAATAATGAAAAGCACCTGATAAGCGTCTGATCCGAAAGATTACTCCTTGATCCAGAATGAACTCAGTTTTAACTTTTCCTACTGTACAACATGTAGTCATTCAGACAACTTTTCTTCTTAATCTTGCTCCCCTATATTGAATTGGTTCATACACAATTTGACCATATGCAGCTAATGTCTAACTCCTATATTCTGGATAAACTATATTGCAAGAGTTGTAATTAGACACTACAATAGATATTATGTGTGTTACACCTCAAATCCTCGATAAGTTTTGATTCGATTATTTAGTTTTTCTTATTTAGTTTTTTTAATGTCATACTTGCAGGGGCGGACCGTAGTACAGACCCAGGGGGGCTGCCGCCCCCCAACAATTTTTTTTTAGTATATATATATATACAAAATTTTTATTTTTACTCCCCCAACATTTAATTCTCGCCCCTCCAAGAAAAATTTTGAACCCCCCCAAAAAATATTTTCTCCCCCAAAGCATAGCCCACTCGTAGAAACCCAATTGTTTAAGAGCCTAAAAAAATAGAAATTTTACAAGTAATATTATATCAACTCACTCCAAAATTTATTCCCCATTAACCCACCCCAAAATCTAATCCCAGCCCACCGCCCAGACCAAACTAATGAAAAACATGTGCACCTAGAAGAAAGAAACGGAAAGATCGATTATTTTTAAATGATTGTCCTTATGTCTACTATGTTCATTGCTTAGCACATCAGTTGCAATTAGCATTGGTTGCTGCTTCTAGAGAGGTGAAATATGTGCACAATTTTTTCATCGATTCAGTCTTTACTATTAATGTGACTAATTTTTCTTGCAAACGAAGTGATGAATTAAATGAAGCGCAAGCACTTGAAATTGCAAGAATGTTGGAAATTGGTGAGCTTGAAACAAGCAGAGGACTTAATTAGGTCGGTACATTACAACAAGCTGGGGAAACTCGTTGGAGCTCACATTTCAGTTCTGTTTGCAGTTTGATTAGGATGTTTGCTGCAACTTGTTCTGTTTTAGAAGATGTTGAATAATCGTTGAAGAAGCGTCGTTGGGTACAATTCTAAGGTACTAACTTTAACTATTTTGTAATAATATATTTGTCTCTTCTTCTATTATAATGCTTCATTTAATTACTACTCCGTATTATATTAAGGTTATAACTTATAATAATAATCGCCTAGATTTTTTTTGTTTAAATTATCGCCCCCCAATATCAATTTCCTGGGTCCGCCCCTGCATACTTGGTTGTAATTGAGTCGTCAATTTCACATGTAGTTATAATTGATATTGAATTAATTTTGTGTTGCTTCCTACACGCTTTAGATGAAGTATTTATTAGTCAAATTCAGCCAAATATTATATACGGAGTAATAAAAACCTAATCTAAACATAAACAAGACACACAACCCATTTTTGTTCAAATTCAGTCAAATTTGGTATGAGATATTTTTAGTGGAATGGATCAAATGAGAAAAATTGAACAATCTTAACTCGATGAAGATGAAGGGAGTATAATAAGTTTTCGGTGAAATTCCGAAGATAAGCATTAGAATGAAAAAACTAATCGAACGAATAAATAACTTTTATTACCATTAACTCATCAAGTATCAAAACAAAATTTTGAAAATGTATATACGCATAGTCTTTGTTCGTTTCCATAGAAGAATTGGACAAGAAAAACTGATACAATCCTCATTTACAAAAAGCTCTGCTAAATTAAAAATGTCTTTTAATTATAATTTTTTCCAACCAATGACATCTAATGTGAGTCACACAATAGCAATGTTGCCGATCCTACTTACGTTATCTCTGATAACAAAGGGAAAGGAAAAAGAAGTCGTCACCGATGGCATCGTGGCTGTGGTTAGGGGTGGACTCGGGCCGGTTTGGGCCTGGGCCCAGTCGGGCATCGGTTCTGTTTTGTTGGGCCCGAGCCCGAACCGGTAGTCACCGGTTCCCGGTCCGGTTCCGGGCCGGGCCACCCGGTTTGTAATTTTTTTTTGGCTTCTCCTATTTAACCTCCAACCCACCCCCCTCACTCCAAACCACCTCAAATGGCCCAAAATACCCAGTCCAACCCAAAAACTTAAAAAAAATTCAAAAAAAAAATAAATTCGGCATGGACCGGGCTGGTTCACCAAATGGAGGGCCCGATCCCGGAACCGAACCTCACCAGGCCGGGTCAACCCGAACCGCTCCTGGGCCGGGCTGCCGGTTCGGTCCGGTTAAAACAGTGACCGGGCCGGTTCCGGGTCGGGCCGCCCGGCCCGAGTCCACCCCTAGCTATGGTGCCGGATGGTCATACTCACCATGATCTAGCGGCTGTGGCATTGCAAAAGACAACAGCACCAAATAGTAATAGCCATTATTAGATGCAATGTTATAGCACAAAAGTATCCAACTGCAATTGTCATATTTTTGTGTTTCTAAATTTGGTCCTGTGATGCTAATAACTTTCTCTAAGGAAAGCCTACAAAATGAAGTTCTCACAATATACGAGTACTATATTTGATATATACTCCGTATTTATGGCAATAAAACCGAATATATATTTATGAATCTCGATAATCTTATAGGTAATTTTTAGCTTGGTGTGATGCCAGCCTAGTGCTGGACTCGGGCCGGGCGGCCCGGCCCGGAACCGGCCCGGCCCGGTTACTGTTTGGCCCGGCCCGGCCCGGGGCCCGGTGGGTCCACCGGTTCGGTTCGGCCCGGCCCGGCTGCTGGGCGGTTCGGGCCCGGGCCCAGGTTTTGGTGAACCGGTCCGGCCGGTTCGGGCCCGGTCCGGGCCGGATTTTAAGTTTTTTTTTTTTTTTTTGAAATTTTTTTAAGTTTTAGGTTGGATTAGGTATTTTGGGCCATTTGAGGTGGTTTGGGATGGTTTGGGGTTGAGGGGGAGGGGATTAAATAGGAGAACAAAAAAAAAAAATTAATTGGGCCGGTTCGGCCCGGCCCGGCCCGGTTTGGCCCGGAACCGGCCACCGGCGGTTCGGGCTCGGGCCTCCCTTTCCTGGCCCGAGGCCCGAACCGGGCCCGAACCGGCCCAAGTCCAGCACTATGCCAGAGTTTCACCTACTATCTATTCGTACCGTATCATTAATACCCTACCAAAACAGATTCTCATTCATTTAACCTAGCAGAAACTCTGAACACAATTTGGCATCTTCAAGTCTTCAACTAAAAAAGGCAACCGAACCTCATTAGTTGGTGATGTTATGACCACAAAAAAAACGTCTTTCCCAGGTCTTGGATTTTCTACACCAAAATATAATATAATACAAATAAAAGGCACTTGTTAAACAACGAAAACCGGCCTTTCCCAAACAAAAAATGTGGGACCTACGACAAAATATATTGCCCAATTAATTGACGTAGAATCAGGCTAGTCACCTAAACTATGGGCCATTGAGTTATTTCTTTTTCCATTTCCTGAACAATCCTCCTATGCAAAAACTAGGCCATGCAGAACACAAAAAAGTGGCCTAATGTTGCATTATTAAAGACTTGCGATTATTATTACTATCATTATCCCTAGCAGTGGTTCCTTGTGGTGAATCCCTTTGATCAGAGCAACGGACATCTTTTTCTTCATCGGCTGTCTCCAAATTTTCATCAACATCATCATGCCCCTTTCCCATCTTTTCAACAATATCAACAGAACGCCTCACACTAGAGCCCCTTCTCATGCCACCGCCGCCCATCACAGAAACTCTCCTCGCTTGTCTGAAATTGCCATTTGACTTGAACTGGTGATCCCAAGTAGATCCATAACCATCAAATCGTTCACTCCTGCTCATCTCTCTCACTGGTGATCTACCATGTTTACCAACAAAATGTTGGTTGTCTGTCCACTTGAATTTCCGGTTGGGGGAGAAGTGCCGTCTAGGTGGGGATACAAACCTTTCTCCATACTCACCTCCTCTTACATAAGACTTCTTAAAAGGAATATCCCTCATTCTCTTCGGGTCGGGCGATCTGCCAGACATGCAGTGCTTCATGCTTGGAGGATTCCAATCTCTTTGTTTTCGATAACGCCAGGCTTGAGGAGAAGAGGATCTTGACCGTGACCTAGATTTCCTTGAATAACATTTCTGCATTTTAACGGACAGCACACCATTGTCACTGGGTAACGAGAAATTACCTGCATGCCTCTTGAAGTCTCCTCTACTACTCTTTTGAGAACAATAATAACTGTCAGATCCACTACGAACAGGTCCCATTCTCCTAGGACCTCTATAACAGTCGTCACCGTCAACCACTAACCTCCGCCTAAACCCTGGAGGTCTTCTCTCTGTACACTTTGACGAATAAAATCTCTGATCACGGGAATCCATACGGCTTAACCTCTCAGTTACATCAGCAGCAAAGGTTCTTCGACGAGGGTGCCCCTGGTCCTCGGGGGCATGATGATAACTAGACAGAAACCGGTTTCTCGAGTCCCAGGTGTTGCCCACCAAATGACCATCACCTGGACTCCTATCTCGTGGATGGAATCCAGATCTGTATCTGCGCGCACACTTCTCAGAGGTAAAATCTCTCTCATGTCTATGGGGCCTGGAAAAGACATCATAATATATTTGTCAAATGAACTTTTAAAGGTTGGTCATTCTAAACTATCTGCAAAAACCATTTGTTAAAAAAATACGAATCTCTTGAAGGTTAAAAATGAATTACCAACCAAATACTGCCTAAAGTATTTGGTAAAAGTTTTCTATTTTAGTAAAGTTCATAGTTTATACATTATAAATCATACTCTTGATATATTTTAAACTCCTGCTCGCCTTAATTTTTACACAATTAATCTAGACTAGTTCAGAGCTCTTTTAAAAAAAAAAACAAAAAAAAATTATAAACATTAACTTCTTTTGTTCAAATCTATGTTACAAGAATTGGACCAGAAAGGGCGGGTCGACCCGGAACCCGGCTCCTAAACCAGTCTGGTTGTCTGTTAACCTGAAAATACCCAGTAACCCCTTATGACCCGGGACAGACCCGTAACCCTTCAAACCCGGGAAAATATGGAAAACCAACTGAAAAGAAATTAGGTGACAGCAGGGAGTCAAACTCGCATCACTAGCTTGCGGGAAGGAATGCTTTGTAATCCAATGGACTGCAATGACTGGTTGTCATATGTTGGTCTTTAAGCGAAATTATAACATTACAATACCAGGTTAAGTTTTTTATGAAAGCATACCATGTTAAGTTAAAACAATAAAACACTATTTTTAAGCATTATTCCTCTATCCCTTAAAACTTTGTC